CGCTTGGACTGTGTAATGATTCACTGGAATGTTCCTTATTTGAATCCAAACCCGAACATACTGAAGGTAGTCTGGTGGCGGATTCTCAACCCATCTGTCGATCACCATTGCCCATTCATTGTATGTATGAACTCCTTTCTCCAGAATCCTTTCCATGTCGAATTGGTGTTTGAAGATGAACTGGAATTTCCCCTGCGAAAGCGCTACTCCTCTAACTCTTCCAATAACCTGCCACTTCCTCGGCATATCAAGAATCAAACTTGACATCTTCTGACAGTCGGGATTCACGAGACGACCCATGATACTGAGGACATTTTTCTCACTCGAACAGAACTCAGGAAGATCCGGCATGTCAAACGGCTTATCTTCCTCCTCCAGACTCATTGCCATCAAAGCCTTATCAATGCTAGTCGACATACTGAAAAGGGAACCAAGACGAAACCTTTTTTGAAGAAAAAACCACCCAGATCTAAGGATCACCGAAGAACCCTAGAACAAAGGAGGCAGAAACACCTTTAACAGAGCGGAAACTAAGCAATTAGGTTACAAACCGGACTTAAACTTGGAAGAATACTAAACCGGACAGTTTTGCGACACTAAAGCTCTACAATTCTTTAGACCAAAGCCTCTAAAGCAAGGAGAGAGTTCTAAGCCCAAAAAAGGGAAACCTTTTGCACGAATTAAAATCAGTTTCTAGTTTAAATAATTTACTTAAAAGGTTAGTTTTGAAAAGACCTTAAAATTAAATTTAGATACGTAAAAACATGTTAAACTTATTACACCACAATATTTACAGACCAAAAGGACGGAATGCTAAGTCTAACCGTTTTTCCGTAACTAAATTGAATATTTAAGTTTGAAAATATTTTGTATATAAAAAACTTTTAGATAAAAAATATCTAAACGATTTACTGAAAACAATATTTTGAAAAACCCTTAAAATTAAATTTAAATATATGAAAACATGTTGAACTTATGAACTTATGACACCACAAAAATTACGGACCAAAAGGACGAGATGCTAAGTCTAACTGTTTCGCTTATTTAAATTTAATATTTAAGTATCAAAATATTTTTATATAAAAAACTTTTAGCTAAAAATATTTAAACAATTTACTGAAAACATTATTTTTTAAAAAAACTTTAAAATTAAATTTAAATATGTGAAAACATGTTGAACTTATGACACCACAAGACTTGCTTACAAAAAAAAAAATGACACCACAAGACTTACGAACCAAAAGAACGGGATGCTAAGTCTAACCGTTTTTCACGTATTTAAGTTTGAAAATATTTTGTATATAAAAAACATTTAAGCTAAAAAAATATCTAAACGATTTACTTAAACCATTATTTTTGATAAAAACCTTAAAATTAACTTTAAATACATAAAAACATGTTGAACTTATGACACCACAAGACTTACGGACCAAAAAGACGGGATGCCTAAGTCTAACCATTTTAACGTATTTAAATTTAATATTTAAGTTTGAAAATATTTTGTATATAGAAAACTCTTAGCTAAAAAATATCTAAACGATTTACTTAAAACATTATTTTTGGAAAAAACATTAAAATTAAATTTAAATACTGTTGAACTTATGACACCACAAGACTTACGGACCAAAAGGATGAGATGCTAAGTCTAACCGTTTTCACGTATTTAAATTTAATATATAAGTTTGAAAATATTTTGTATATAAAAACTTTTGACTAAAAAATATCTAAACGATTTATTTAAAATATTATTTTTGAAAAAACCTTAAAATTAAATTTAAATACATGAAAACATGTTGAACTTATTTAAACTTATTTAAAAATATCTAAACGATTTATTTAAAACATTATTTTTCAAAAAAAAACTTAAAATTAAATTTAAATACATGAAAACATCATGAAATTTAAATTTAAATAGCCTTATTTATTCATCCTTTGTACGGAAATGCTAAGTGCAAATATTCGTAAGGTAGAACGGAAAAAATTGATTACATGTATCAAAGTAGCAAACGCAAGTCCTTCGTCTTCATATCTGTTATTTGCGGATGATAGTTTATTTTTTCGCAAGGCTAACAAGGACCAGTGTGGAGTAATTTTGGGGATTTTAAACAAGTACGAAACGGTCTCGGGACAGTAGATAAATTTTTTAAAATCATCGATTTAGTTTGAACATAAGGTAGATGATGACACCAAGGAAGAAATCAAATCTACCTTGGGTATCACTACTATCGGTGGTATGAGTTCTTATCTCGGATTGCCGGAGAGTTTAGGTGGCTCCAAGACAAAAAATTTCTCTTTTGTTAGGGATAGATTACAAACAAGAATTAACGGATGGTCGGCCAAATTTTTATCGAAAAGTGGGAAAGAAGTGATGATTAAATCGGTAGCTGCAGCTTTACCAACTTATGTTATGTCATGCTTCAGACTACCAAAAACAATCACTTCAAAACTCACTAGTGCGGTTGCTAATTTTTGGTGGAGCTCGAATGGGGATTCCAGAGGTATGCACTGGACGGCTTGGAATAAATTGTGCAATAGTAAATCGGAAAGGGAATTAGGATTTCGGAATGTAGACGATTTTAATTCAGCCTTATTAGCAAATCAATTATGGCGGTTAATTACGGTTCCAGATTCTCTCTTCGCAAAGGTTTTTAAAGGGCGGTATTTTCGGAAAAAAATCCTTTGAAAAATATAAAATCATACTCTCCATCATATGGATGGCGGAGTATATGTTCAGCTAGATCTCTGGTTAATAAATGACTTATTAAAATAGTCGGATCTTGGACATCCATCTTAGTTTGGGAAGACCCTAGGATTCCAGCTCAATTCCTGAGACCAGCAAAAAGTAATGGGTCAATTGTTGATCCATCTTTAAAAGTTTTCAATCTTATAGATAGTCGGTCAAACTTTTGGAATATTGATCTCCTACAGGCGATCTTTGAACCAGAGGATGTCGCGCTAATAAGTGCCCTACCTGTGGGTGCGCCAAGTAAAGAAGATACTCTGGGTTGGCATTTTACAAAATCAGGAAAATATACAGTTAAATCGGGTTATCATACCACACGGATAAAAAAGTCAGAGACCAATGTATCTTTTATGGGCCCAGACATCAAACCGCTAAAAGCACATTCTTGGCAAGTGCAGTGTCCACCTAAGATACGCCATTTCTTGTGGCAAATTTTAACGGGTTGTGTACCGGTTACGGAGAATTTGCGAAAAAGAGGAATCGACTATGACACAGGATGTGCCACGCACCAGAAGAAACGATCAATCACACAATCTTTCAGTGCCACCCGGCACGGCAGATTTATGCGGTTTCACAGATTCTTACGGTTATGGGGAATTTTCCCATGAAATCTATTTTTGCGAAATTGGATCACTTATTTTGGAGAATACTTTCAGAATTCGATTCATCAGCTTTTCCATGGATTATCTGGTATATTTGGAAATCAAGGAATGAAAAAATATTTGAAAATATAGATAGTGACCCACTAGAGGTATTACGGTTAGTAGAAAAAGAGACACACTTGTGGCAGTCAGCTCAAATCGAGCTCATTAATGAAAATCATGGTTCTATGGATTTGGTATCTCGATCTCGAGTAAGGGATGCTTCACCTGAATCGAATTATTCGGGATACCGTTGTTTTGTGGATAGATCATGGAAAGAAAGTGATAAGTTCTCCCGTACATGATGGTTCTGTACATCATCAAGTGGAGAGCCGCCAACCATGGGAGCTGCCAACCTCCGTAGAAGTCTATCGCCACTACATACAGAAGTCGAGGCCCTTCTCTGGACGATGAAGTGTATGATTGGTGTAGATAATCAACAGGTAGCGTTCTTTACAGACTGTTCAGACCTGGTGAAGATGGTGTCTTCCCCAACCGAATGGCCGGCGTTTTCAGTATATTTGGAGGAATTTCAAAGCGACAAGGAAGAATTCTCAACCTTCTCTTTATCTTTAAATTCTCGTAGTGCTAATGTAAAAGCGGATAATCTTGCACAAAAAGTTCGTACATAACCGCTTCATATCACATATGTAAACAACATTCCCCAAGAATGACTCTTTTGAGCTTTAATTAATTTTGGATGACAAAAAAAAATGTTGAACTTATGACACCACAAGACTTACAGACCGAAAGGATGAAATGCTGTTAGGGACTATATGTAAATATATAATAATATCTAATCTAATATGTTAATATCTCTAAATTATGGTAGTTAGGGTTTCTCATATGATGTATATATACTTATGCCGTGAGATGAATAAGATCAACATATATTCTCTTAACCCCTTTGACATGGTATCAGAGCAAGGGTTTTAAGAAGAAAATCAAACAAAGGGAGAAAGAGAAGAGACTATGGCTGACGGTGAGAATAGCGGAGGAGGAGAGCTTGCATTGAGCAAGAAAGTTGCGGAAGGCGGCGGTGGAAGTGGACTCACGGTGGCGGAGAAGGCTAGGGCCTCTCCATTTTATCTCCATCCTTCTGATGGACCGGGTAATTTAATCACTACTGTTCAATTGAAGGGAGAAAACTATGAAGATTGGGCAAAGCATGTGCGGAACGCCTTGCGAACTAAACGAAAATTGGGATTCATTGATGGAACCTTGGAGAAACCTACCAAGGAAGATGAGAGGGAACAGTGGGAGGTTGTGAATTCCATGCTCGTTGCTTGGATAATGAATACAATTGAGCCTACACTACGGACTTCGATATCGATGGTGGATGAAGTGCAAGTGTTGTGGGATGACCTAAAGTTGACATTCTCGGCTGGGAATGGACCGCGAATCAGTGAACTTCGAGCTGATATCGCAAATTGTCGACAGAATGGAGACACGGTGATGGCATATTATGGTAGGCTAAAGAAGATGTGGGATGAATTGGCCATTTATAAGCCTATACGGACGTGTAGCTGTGGAGAGTTGGCTACACAATTGGAAGAAGATCGCAACGAAGAACGTACAAACACGTTCCTCAATGGCTTAGATGCATCTCGTTTTGGTACGGTACGGTCTACAATTACCAGCATAGAGCCTCTTCCTAAGCTGTCCCAAGTTTATCAGAGAATTGTTCGGGAAGAGAGACAACAAACAATGACAAGTAACAAAGAAGCAGCGCCTGAGGCGGTAGGATTCTCGGTGAATACGGTGGGTGCTGGGAATACTGGTTTTTCTTCCACGTATCAACAACGTGAGAAAGATGTGACTTGCACATATTGTGGCAAGTATGGGTATGCGAAAGTTGATTGCTTTCAGCTACTTGGATATCCTGAATGGTGGGGTGAACGCGGTCGTGATAACAATGAACGTGGTAGGGGACGTGGTCGGACTGGACGTGGTGGTGGCACGGTTGGTCGTTCTGGACGAGGTAGAGGATATGGTGGTCGGGCTAATGCGGTTGCGGGAGTACATGCCAATATTGTTGGCGGAATACAAGCCAATTCCACACGCCAACCAACTGACTTTGATCGCCAGTCTCTCCCTCAGCTTAATAATGATCAATGGACTGCTCTTATGACTTTGTTTCAGTCTCAAAATTCGACGTCAAATGAGAAGTTGAATGGTAAGACAAAATGCATTGAATTTATTATTGATACAGGCGCATCACATCATATGATTGGGAACTTAGACTACTTGTCTAATGTGGTGAATACAAATCCATGTGTAATTGGATTGCCCGATGGAGATCATGTGATGGCCACGAAAATGGGTGATGTATGCTTGGGAGGAGATTTATGGTTAAATTGAGTTCTATATTCAAAGGATTTAACAAGCTCGTTGATTTCTGTTGCAAAACTGTTGAAAACCATTAAGGGATCTATCACATTTACTGATGAGTTATGTGTTATACAGGACCGTACTATGAAGACGCTGATTGGCGCAGGTGAAGAGTGTGGGGATGTGTACGTGTTTCGAGGGGTGATCGGGTCGTAGATTCATAAGACTGTGAGCTGTTCGGGTTCGTGGGATTTATGGCATCGTCGATTTGGTCATCCGTCAAGTGGTGTTTTTCCTTATTTGTCAACTTATTTAGATATTGGGAAACAATTGAGTTCCACAACAGTTTGTGACATTTGTTTACGGGCGAAACAAACGCGTGATTGTTTTCAAGAAAGTTCTAATAAAGCTGTTGGTATTTTTGATTTGATTCATTGTGACATTTGGGGTCCTTATCGCATATTGTCAACTTCTGGCGCATCATATTTTTTGACAATAGTGGATGACTATTCAAGAGCGGTTTGGGTATACTTGTTGAATGCAAAGAGTGAAGTAGCGACTACACTTAAAAAATTTCTTGCAATGGTGGAACGACAATTTCAGAAGAAGGTGAAAATTGTTCGAAGTGACAATGGTGGGGAATTTGTAGGCCTGAGATCGTATTTTATGGATGCGGGGATCATTCATCAGACATCGTGTGTCTATACTCCTCAACAAAATGGCCGGGTGGAGAGGAAGCATAGACATATCCTTAATGTGGCTCGTTCGTTGATGTTTCAAGCAATGTTACCACGTAAGTTTTGGGGTGAGTGTGTTTTAACAGCATGTCATTTGATTAATCGCACTCCATCCAATGTTCTTCAGGGAAAGACACCATACGAGTTGCTTTTCAGTGAGATACCGGATTTTAGCTCGTTGAGGGTATTTGGTAGTCTCTGTTTTGCTCGTAACATATTGCGCGATAAGGATAAGTTTGGAGAACGAAGTCGACGGTGTGTTTTTATGGGATATCCATATGGTCAAAAAGGATGGCGGGTTTATGATTTAGAAAAGAATGAGTTCTTTGTCTCTAGAGATGTGGTGTTTCAGGAAAATGTGTTTCCATTTCAAGGGGAAGAGCAACGATCGAATGATACAGTGCATGACTTGTCTGATCAATTGCAAACTGCAGGAACAGATTGTTTGGTGGAAACAGTGACTCTGGGATCGCTCGATCGTCCATCGGGATCGATCGCTCTCAACCAAAACTCAGTGATTGCTGAGGAACCAGAGACTCCAGGATCGATCGATCGCTCTCAACCAAGACCCTGATACGGCTGCGAAACCAGTAGCTATGGGATCGATCGATTGGGTACCGGGATCGATCAATCCGGTCAGCGTTCAGATGTTGCTCCGAAAACAGTGGCTCCGGGATCGATCGATCAGCCTCCTGGATCGATCGATCCAAACTCAGTCGTAGAAATTATTGGTTCTAAAGGTAAAAATGATACTTTGAATGAGGTCTCTACAACTGGTTCAAGAGAAAGGGGGAGTACTGAAACTTCGAATGATAAAGTGGTAAAGCTGCGACGCAGTGAGAGAGAAACTCAACTTCCTGTCCGTCTCAACGATTATGTTCTCCATACTACACGCTGCTCTTCCGACCCCCCCACACTCTCCTCTGCTTCATCTCAATCAGCGTCATCATCTTCAGGTACGGTTCTCTATCCCATTGCGAATTATGTGTCATGTGACCGTTTTTCTGTTGCACAAAGAGCTTTCTTTGCAGCTATAACGGCTGTACCTGTGCCTAGATCATACTCGGAAGCTGTTAAAGATGAGAAATGGCGAAATGCAATGTCTGGAGAAGTGACTGCATTAGAATCAAATAACACATGGGATATTACTGAATTTCCTCCTGGTAAGAAGGCAATTGGTAGTCATTGGATTTTTATAGTAAAATATAAGTCCAATGGGGAGATTGAGAGGTACAAAGCTAGATTGGTAGCCATGGGAAACCGACAAGTGGAGGGCTTGGACTTTGATGAGACATTTGCTCCGGTAGTGAAGATGACAACGATACGTGAGTTTCTTAAGATTGCGGCTGTAAAAAGATGGGAAGATCAGATGGATGTTCACAATGCTTTCTTGCATGGGGATCTTGAGGAAGAAGTCTATATGCGATTGCCACCGGGATTTGTTTCTACGGATAAATCCAAGGTTTGTCGGCTTAAGAAATCCTTATATGGTTTGCGTCAAGCACCGCGATGTTGGTTTGCTAAACTTGCAACTGCTCTCAAAGGATATGGTTTTGAACAACAAGTCGCGGATTACTCTCTTTTTACCCTCGTGCGTGGTTCTATGCAGCTCTATGTGTTGGTGTATGTTGATGACTTGTTGATTGGTGGTAATGATCTCCAAGGTATAGTGCAGTTTAAAGAGTACCTTAGTGAGTGCTTTTATATGAAAGATTTGGGTCCTATGAAATATTTCTTGGGTATTGAAGTTTCTCGCTCTCCTGAGGGTTTTTATTTGTCTCAAAGGAAGTATGCTTTGGACATCGTAAGTGAATGTGGACTGCTAGGAGGTCAGCCGGTAGCTACTCCGTTGGAACAAAATCATAAGTTAGCACTTGATGAGGGAGATTTTTATCACGATCCTGAGAAGTATAGGCGGTTGGTTGGTCGTTTAGTATATCTTACATTTACTCGCCCGGAATTATCGTATGTTGTGCATATGTTGGCTCAGTTTATGCATAATCCACAAACTAAGCATTGGGCTGCTGTTACACGGGTAGTACGCTATCTTAAGGGATGTCCGGGACAAGGAATCGTGTTGAGTTCAGACTCTGATTTACAGTTAACGGCTTATTGTGACTCTGATTTTTCTACATGTCCTATGTCGCGGAGATCAATTACGGGTTTTGTTGTCATGTTGGGAGATTTTCCGATTGCTTGGAAAACTAAGAAACAGGATGTGGTATCGTTTTCTTCCGCTGAAGCTGAATATCGTTCAATGAGTTTTACTTCTCGCGAACTAAAGTGGAATCGAGAACTTCTAGCATGTTTTGGGGTTTCTCATCCGCAGCCTATGCGTTTATTTTGTGACAATAAGGCAGCATTACACATCGCTGCTAATCCAGTCTTCCATGAGCGAACGAAGCATATTGAGAGGGATTGTCATCATATTCGGGATGAAATACAACTTGGCTCTTTGGTCACTGCACACCTTCGCACTGAAGAACAACCGGCAGATATATTTACGAAGGCATTGGGTTCTCAACAATTTACGTATGTACGGCGCAAGTTAGGCATTTGTGATATACATGCTCCAACTTGAGGGGGAGTGTTAGGGACTATATGTAAATATATAATAATATCTAGTCTAATATGTTAATATCTCTAAATTATGGTAGGTAGGGTTTCTCATATGATGTATATATACTTATGCCGTGAGATGAATAAGATCAACATATATTCTCTTAACCCCTTTGACAAATGCTAAGTCTAACCGTTTTCACGTATTTAAATTTAATATTTAATTTTGAAAATATTTTGTATATAAAAAACTTTTAACTAAAAAATATCTAAACGATTTATTTAAAACATTATTTTTGAAAAAAACATTAAAATTAAATTTAAATACATGAAGACATGTTGAACTTATGACACCACAAGACTTAAGGACCAAAAAGACGGGATGCTAAGTCTAACTGTTTTTACATATTTAAATTTAATATTTAAGTTTGAAAATATTTTGTATATAAAAAATTTTAGCTAAAAAATATCTAAACAATTTATATAAAACATTATTTTTGAAAAAACCTTAAAATTAAATTTAAATACATGAAAATGTGTTGAACTTATGACACCACAAGACTTACGGACCAAAAAGACGGGATGCTAAGTCTAACCGTTTTCACGTATTTAAATTTAATATTTAAGTTTGAAAATATTTTGTATATAAAACACTTTTAGCTAAAAAATATCTAAACGATTTATTTAAAACATTATTTTTGAAAAAAAAAACCTTAAAATTAAATTTAAATACATCAAAACATGTTGAACTTATGACACCACAAGACTTACGGACCAAAAGGACGGGATGCTAAGTCTAACTGTTTTCACGTATTTAAATTTAATATTTAAGTTTGAAAACATTTTTAAAAGATAAAATATTTTATCTTACAATATTAGTTACGAAAAAGCTTTTATTTTTGTTTGAAATCCGAAAATTTATAATTGAAAATATATTTTTTACCATATCAATTATTATCTATAACGTTAATTAAAAAAGAAATCAAAATCTTTATTAAAAAGTAAGGAAATTAAGAAAGGAAGAAACCTGATACAATATCGAAATAGCCTCCGAGCGGCTAGGGAAATCGTGTCTGTGGTAGTAGGATACGAAACCATTGTGGGTTTTGTGGAAGCTCAAATCCCTGCAATATTAAAGCCATAGATGTGTTAATGCAATGTTCAAATATTTCTCTTTTCAAACAGTTCGGCGATGTATTTGGATCATTAATTTCACGTTCTCTCGTGTTAGACGATCGTCTTAGTAAAACAGTAGCAGAGAAAAAAAGAATTCTTTTTAATCTTTAGAAGAAGAATTATGATTTCTCAAAGAGGAAGAGAGATGGATATTTATAAGGGAAGGTTCACGCAAAGAAAAAAGGAAACATATAAAAAAAAAAAAAAGGCAATTGATCACAATTAAGGACCGTTTACAACGGTTATTTTTTTTTTTTTTTTTTATTTCCTCCTACAACGGTTATTTTTCTAATCGCAATTTGCAGATTTCGTTAAAAGGTCACGTGTTCGAATTTTATTATTTTAATTTCAAAACTACATCGTTTTGCCATTAAAGTCACAGTCACACTTTCGCTTTTCCCAATACAAACAAGCGGTGACGCATATCTCTCCGGCCATCACTCTTTTACTTCCGGCGATCTCTCTCCGACGTCCAATGGACGCCGTCCTAAACTCTGTTCCACTCTCCTTCACGCGCCTACGCGCATCATCCTCTCCTTCCTCCTTAAATCTTATTGCTGGTTTTTTTCTGTTGATTAATATCTATATAAGTATTGAAAAAATTCGGTTTGAGTCAAGTTTCACATCTCATACAGTTATGATAGATTTGGGTAATCGATTGTACAACCGAGTACGAACCGAAAATTTTCAGATATTTTCAGTTCTGGCTTTTAGGAGATTTTGGGTATTTTTTATATTTCTGGTATATTCGTGT